TTTATATATATCATATTATATATAAATATATTTTTTAATATATAATATATATATATATATATATATATGTATATATATATATATATATATATATATATATATATATATATATTGAAATAAAATTTGATAGAAATAAAATTCACGTAAAAAGCAACTATAGTTGAAGACAGATTAATGTGTGAGCCTCACTAAAACCTGATATGAAACAATGTTATTTTAGGAAATACAAAAATATTAATAGTATTATAAAAAAATAGTTAGCATGAACAATGGCCAATGAATATAGAACACTCAAAGGAGCATTTCTTTCGGCCAAAAGATATTCCAGAGTTTTAACCAGAGACCAAAGTTCCATGTAGCTATTATGTATATTCACTCAGTGTATGGTAAATACAAATTTTACGATTAAACAACTCATTAACACTATCTCAATGGCAACTGTTTTCGTCATATCTCAGACAGACACCAGAAGGGATTTCAAATTCTATGCATATTCAAACTACATACAAAAAAGACTTAACAGGTAGTCTCGATGTAATCATGTTATGTTACGTTCCAAAATCTAAATCTGAAGCCCACTGAATCAAAAGCAACTTTCCTTCCATCCTCCAACATCATCATCATCAGCATATTCCTGTTCCTGTGAATTCCAAGAACAACATTAAAGAAACTCCTAAAGTCCTAACATGATATATAATATACCATATGTTGACAAACTTCATTTCAAAATTTTTATTGTGCATAACAACTAACGAGCATAATTTTTTCATATGAACTCAAACTTAGATTCTTTTCTGTTGTTTGCATCACAAGAAATATGAGCACTCTCAAACTAAAATATTACCTTTAAGGTGAAAGTTATACCAACTTCTATTTCACCACAATAAGATTGGTCAGCACGAACCACACTATACTTGTGAGGACGAAGCTCAGCCGATCCCTTCTCTGTTCCTTCTGCCAATAAATCCTTTACATAAACTCTGGATACAGAAAATTGACCCTTTATTATGAACAAGAAATAAAAGTGAGAATATGCTTTTATGATCTTTTTCTCATGATCCTGGTTTAAGTAAGGGTGTCCTTCTCATTATTGCATTTTGTGCAACCCTTCTTCATTGGGTATAGAGGAATCAAAAAGCTTATTTGAATCCTTAACAAAAAGTTAACATGAGAATTTAGAAACTAACACTGTAATTCCTTCATATCAAGATGATTGGAATTTTAACTTATTAAAAGAATGCAAATGGAATTTCCTAAATGTCTGTATTTCCAGGCGATAGAAGTTATGTATTTCTTGAGAGAATGAATTTGGAGAAATTGTTGACATTTATTGTTATTATTAATGTGTGAAAAAACTTTAAACTACATATATTTTTAGAATTTTGAGACAGAAAGGTAGTAACATTTTCATTTAGTCAATAAGAGCAACTCATCATGACAAATTCACTATATTTAAGAAGCTAGTAAAGTCTTACGCAGCCTGGCCAACAAAGTCATCTGCAGAAAATACATCCTTGTCCATGATTACAAGGTTGAGCTTGTATTGGTCACCTGAACCGGGATATTCTACTCTGAATACGAATTTCTCATTCCATACAGGATTTCTGCCTCCCTCTGCATCGATAAAAAATCTGTCTAATCAAATGCCTTATTAATGGTAAAAAAACTGAAAATTCATCTCAGCTTTATCAGCATCTATGTTACGTTAAGCCTAGTAAGATCCACCGTCTATTTTAGTGTTTCAACGTATGTGTAAGTTTTTTAGGCAGTTGAAAAAGAAAAGAAAGCACACTCTTTTTTCTTTTGCGTACCCATCTACTTCAACAAAGGAAATAGTGAAAGGACAAAAGCTTGACACAATTTTGTAGTTGCTTTTAGTGTTAATCTCCAATTAGAGTTAGAGGCTCAAACCAGAAATCCACATAATAATAAAGGTTTCCATTAGAGAGGTCAACATAGATTATTGAAGTGAAACTTCAATTTTAATTGGACAACAACAATAAAAACTGTTGTGGAGCTTCATTTAAGTTTGGTCATAGTGAAATACATACATAGGGTGGGAAGAGAAATGAAGGGATAAAACTCCATATTTGACAGTTCTTGTTCCCTCCTGTGGTGCCCTTTTAGCTTGAGATTCTTGAGCTATGGGCATCTAATTACAAAAACTTTAATTCCTTCATAAAAAAGGAAAGCAAGAAACCACACATTGTATCAGAAAAAACATACCACTAGCTGATGAACTAGATGCCTGCTAGAGTTAGCCCAACGAAATTCTTGATTTATATTTTCTTTTCTCTACTCTTGTAATCTCACCAGCAGAATGAAATGATTGAGCACTTTCACACGAAGTTAAGTATTGGAAAAGCTTCTCACAATTTAGTACACACCACACAAAAATTTGAAATACTAAGCATTTCCAGACTTGATAGTTAATGCAATATAAATTTCTAGGAAAAGAAGCATTTAACTAACCATGAATTACACTGCTCTTGCGCTCTTGACCTTTGTATTGTAATAGGACATAAGGATCCATACGAGCTATCAACAAAGAAAAGAGATTAACAAAAAGAACACGGCACCTTGTTAGAATCAGATTATAGAAATGTATTAAAATCATCATGGAAGTGCCTTGAATCCATCTAGATTACACTGGACTCGAGGAATTGAGATGTCAGATACCCAGATTATAAGCTGAACAAGGAATTGAATATAGATTAATAATGCTTAGAAAAATCCCAATTTTAGAATAAGAAAAAGGTTGAAAATCTAATCAAAAGGGCATGGTGTGTAAACATAAATTGGAAAAAAATATGAGAAAAGAAAGGAATCTGAGCTAAAGATTCAGTTTACCGAAGACATCAGTATCACGAAGACCCTTTGCTTTCACCAGCTCCACCTCCATGAATCCAAATGCCATCTCTCTCTCTCTCTCTCTCTCTCTCTCTCTCTCTCTCTCTCTCTCCAAGTGGGCAAGGAAATGAAATAGAACCTTCCCTGGTTTACAATGAAGAAAGAAACCTTAAATAGTCAATGAACTAAACCTCTGAATAAATTTATTCCAAACCCCCACGTAAAATATTTATCAAGTCTGTTTAAAATTTACTATTACAAAACACTCCAACAAAAAAAGACAAATCTTCACGTCATCCCTAATTCAGCAAGACGCATTTTCAGAGGACGAACAAAACTCGCAGACGTTCTGTATATCAGTGAAAATTCCACAAATCATGACAATAACCTGGTTATATATTAACAACATTAATAATTTTCATTTGAAATAGGCTATTAAAGCTTTAAAATTTGTTTACTTATTTCTAATTAATTTAAGAAATTGACAGGGAAAGTAAAACCTATCTTCACCAAAGTGAAAACTAGTGAAATTATTTTAACTGAAAATATGAAAAAAGTCGTCCACCTTGAAAGTACGCAATGTTGTGTTTGACCTCTTATACGTAAGCATTATAAGAGGAGAAACAACAAGTTTTAATGTTTTACAGTAAAACAGTTACTATAATAACTATTGACTGTTTTAATGTTGATTAGGGTGTAAACATAATTGTTTCTTAGACAGTTATGGGGCAGAGAGAAACAGGGAAAGAGGGGAGGAAAAAGACATCTGGAATTAGAAAGGAATCATGAAGGAGAGAACCAAGTTCTCAGCAACTTGGTATGTGTTGTTCAGTGGTGGTTCTGTAATTCTGGTATTTCAATACCTATTCCAATGAATTGAATTCAATATTTTAATTCTATACCAATTGATTTCTATCAACTAGTATCAGGGCTCAACGTTCCTGGAGACCATTCATGGTGATAACACGCGGTATGAAAGCACGGGTGGAACCGTTGGAAAGAGGCATGGAAGTTTTATTCGTAATGAGGGAAACAGTGGCGAAAAAAAGTGAGCAGTTAAACAAGTACAGGCCTTTAACCCAACTGTTAAAAAAAGACAGTTTTCAATGTTATAGAGAGAAATGCTTCCAACCTTTTAATGCAGGAAGGATGCCCAGTGGCTTTTCTTAGCCAAACACTGTCAGCACGGGCTCAATCCAAGTCAGTTTATGAAAGAGAATC